CAGCTGACAAGCCTGCCAATTTCACACTTCTAATCTGGAGGTGTTACTTGTCTGTCCAGGCTTGTTTCATGATGGCCTGGAGGGGGGGGGGGGTGGTGGTCTGGTGGCCAGCCAATGTCATCACCACTGGGGAAACCCCCTCCCTCCCAACACTGAGACTGTGACCACATTCCCAGTGTCTCCGGACAGCTGTGGGCAGAATGTTCCCCTAAAAGCAGCATCATTAAAATACGAGGGGACATCTTCTCTACAGAAACACACTCAATGCTAATGAAGTCCAAATCTGTCAAGGATTCCGTCAGGAGTCGTTCGGGACACCTCTGGCCCAGCGTCTCCACCGCTCGACCTCGCTGGCTTTCAGAATGTCTGAGGTCCAGACGGCTCAGGATTCAAGCAAGACGCTCATGCTGACACTTGGCGTATTTATCCTGGGAAAAAAAGCGACCATTGTCTCTGTCCCCCAGAGACCCCTCTGAAGGTATATACGCCATTTTCTTGGCATGTTGTACGATACAGTGGAACCAAAAAATGACAGGTGTTGAATTACTAATCTCTTTAGGAGTCAGTAGGACGTCCTTTGAAATATTAGTCATTTGTTCTTTGAAACATCTGGCTGGTCTGAAAAGACCTCAAGAGGCACGTTTCACATCCAGCTTCCAAGCAGCACAGACGAGCGGTTTTGCATGACCACACATATCTGTAACAGCCTTTGAAAACAATGAATTCATTCCCCTAGAAAAGGAGATTCAGCATCTCCCCTTTTTCTGGAAAATTATCATCATTATAAGACTCGCCTATCCCAGTAGAAGTGATTCATAAATCTGCAAAGCACTGAATTTAATGGAAGACCCACTTGTGATAAAATCCTTATAAACTTTAGCTTACAGTAGGTCTGTTTAGAACAGGGGTGGCCAATCTTACCCTGAAAGCCCACTGTGTGTGCAGATTTTCACTGCTAGTCCTAATTAGATTACTAATTAGAGGACTAATTGGCTGAAGAATCCTCACACCTGGGTTTGAACAGCTGACCTAAAGGTCACCCCAAAAACCTGCGTAGACATCGGCCCTTTGCGGATAAGACTGGCCACTCACATTTTATAGAAGTAGTGAGTCCAACAACAGGCACAGATCTTATTACTCATAATGCTCTGTGGCCTCTGAAACACCAAGACTGTTGTCTGCCTGACCATCTCTTATGACAAAGATCTTCTCAGAAAGACGGAGCATTACACTCTAATTTGACCAGTAATTTTGGTATTTTATTGAATCCCAGGAGCTGTGGTCACTGTTGCACTATTTCCGGACAGTAGGACACGAACCTGACCATCCACACAGTTAGTCAAAGTCCCAGCTTTTACATTCCTCAGGCATGAACTATATCTCTCAAGCAAGGAAACTCTGAAGGCATTCAGTCAGATTTGCGGACTTCTGCGCGGCTGCATGATTCATGCTGAAAAACTCTCTTGAGGAATTTCCCTAGAGCCGGTATATTGGCCAATTCTTATGTGTACCCTGGGTTGTTCATGCCAGGCCTCCGGGGGGCGCTGTGAGAGATGATGCCTCCTCGTCGCTAATAAGAGTGAAGACCTCATGGCCGCCAGGTTACGACAGCATCTGCTCCAAACCGCCGGGAAACAGGGAACAAGTTCTTGTGCGTCAACGACTTTTCTTGTTCAGAAGACCCTGTCGTCACTGACAACCACTCTCACTCCCCAAGGTCCTATCTCCCCCCCAGGCCCCCAGTGCTCCCAGTCCATCCAGTCCACACACTTGGCTGTCTGGCAGGGCTCCAACACCCCTCCATTGCAACTGGCACACTAATTAGTTGGCCAGTGGACAGCGGTAAGGACCTTGCGTGGTGACAGCGGCTGATTGATCATGAGGAGAGGTGCTTTAACACCTTATTAGAAACCATCTCATCTGTGAAGGGGAGGGCAGGGTAAGTGATGACAAGCTGTGTCCATCAGGGTCAATGGCAGCCCCCCCCCCCAACTATAGGCCAAAAACACGGCTTCTCCGGTGATCGTTGCGTCCCCAGCTGTCCGGACTCCCGTGTGAGGATACAAAAAGTTTGTTGGTATTCGAAAAAAACGTTCAGCAAAGCACTCTGGGGGGAAAGGGGAGAGTGCTGGGGGTTTGGGATCAGATACTGGATCTTTTATTCTATTGCAAAGTTGTCAGACCAAACTGTACCCCGCTGCTGATCCTGTGGACACCGTGCAGCAAATGTGACAAACATCTGAAGAACATTTGGACAGTAAGAAAACTGGAGAATTCTCCCCAAACCATCGCAGGGATCTGGCTCCACTTTGCATCTGATCCATCTAACAGTTCATATTCCGCTTGTGTACTCTATTGTACCATGACACAAGTCGCTCAGAAAAAGCACGGTAGACAGCAGGCGACTGTCTTTAGGGTCTTTCCTGTTTCAACCACCTTTGGGAACAGTTTTGCAGATGCGTCCTCTGTGGCTCGAGAACCAGACTGTGACCCTCGGACGTGTCTGCGGGGCCCGGCAGAGTGTGCTACTGTTCCGGAGACATCTGCCACAGGCCACGCACCGGACGTGGTGGAGATCAGCCAGAAGATATTAAAAACCCATTAAGTATTTATGGGAGACCCAGAGAGCATGCTTGTGCTGAGGCTGAGTGAGACAGAGCTGGCTAGGAACAGGGATTTCCTCCCGGGCTGGGATTCTACAAGGAAAGATCTCTAGCCACAGCAGGGACCTCAAACGTTCAATACTGCAATGGCAGAGAGATGTGGGCCAAGGTGGTTTTGCGGGATTACCATGGTAACATCGTACGGCTGTCGTGGATGTGGCCAACTGCGATTAACCTAGTAATGGCCTAGTAGTTACCAGTAAGTTAATACAGTGTGAACTATGTAGTGGAGTCGCAAATGATCTTGTCAAGGTTTTCACCCTGACATCTAAGCTATCAGGCTCATGCTATTGAGAAAAAAACATACTTTTTTAACGGCTCAGATAATCTGAAATTCATTTTGTTGCATTGGCACCTCTTAAAGTCCTTCACAGCAATAGCACTTACAGCAGGAGTTATCGCGACGCGCTGCAGAACGACCCAGAGCTCGACGGAAATCAAATTAAAGAAACACCCAAGCAAATCACACGTCAATCCGTCTGCGCCACGTCCCGTATAGTGAGGCCAACAGACCCTTTTTAAGAGGCCTGGTGTTTCGAGTTTAACCTCAGCTGATGCCGATGGGTCTCCTGTCCAGATGCTGCAAGGAGACGCAGACTGAATCCACAAAGGCTGCTGTGTCGGGGGCCTGAATGGCGCCCTCTGTGGCCGCCCAGTGTGTCCGCTCGGCGTTCCGGCCCAGAACAACCCCCAGTCTGTGTCATCGTAGCTTTTTCCAGTCCTAGTCCGTGCCAAGCGTGCAGAACGCTTGGGGAATGTTTGGGACGGCTCCCGGTAACCACCTGACGGAGCCGGCCGCATTCCTTTGGTGCAAAAAAAAAAGTGCCGAAAGTGAGAGCGGCGCACAGAATTTCACATGGAACGGAAAACAGCCAATGGGACAGTTGAATCGGCCAGTTACATCGAACCGCCCGAATCTGGCCTAGCTAAACCCCTCCCCTCTCACAAACGCCACATACACCCGGAGGACGAGGACGCTTCAGCTGGGAATTTAGTGATGGGGCCAGAGCATTCCAGGCTCCTGCCCGTGCATGTGCCGGATTCCGCTTCCATCCCTCCTACGCTCCTCCGATTGTCTGTCTGATCACATGAGATCCAGCCGGGACCGTGAGAAAGGGGAGGGGACTGGAACAGAACCCGAGGTCAAGGTGAACTTAAGGTGCCACTTTGCCAGCGCCGTTACGCAAGACTTTCATCACTCCTGGCATGACCGAGGATGACGGAGGAGAAGAGTGAGGCAGATGCACGCTACCGCTCGTGCTCTCCTCAGACGTCTAGGAACCGCATGGAGCGAAAACTCGAGGAAGATCAGAGGAGCAGCGACCTGAGGGAATCCTTCAGCTTCCCGCTGCTTTGCCAAACACAGACGACGGCACTGACTGACTGATTCAACTCAATTCGACTTTATTCAGATTGCACTTTTAACAAAGAGCAGCGTCGCAAAGCACTTTACAGAGTCCCCGAGGTAAGAGTGAGCTCGAGGTGACAGTGACAGGGAAACGGTCCCTCAGGGAGAAGAGGAAACTCACGGGAGTGTTTATCCTCCTTTGGGAGGCAGTGGGCAGTACAAGGTGGTGGGACAGCACAGGCAGTCAGGCAGATAGTCAAGCAGCTGGTGGGGGGAGGGGGGTACAGGAAGGCGAGGGATGGGCTTCCTGTGATCCGGACAGAAAGAGAGACAGAAAGTGCATGAGCACCTGTGGGAGAGAGAAAAGTGATAGTGTGAGTCAGCCTGCAGTTATGTGGGACCCTCCCTGTTGCAGACTCCTACGAGCTGCTCGAATGCAGCCTTGATGCTCCCATTCAAATCCGGTGAACTTTGACTTCAGGACATGACCTGCTTTCGGCCTGTTAACACCTTCGATTCGGCGTGAACGTGCGTGATCCACTGGGCAGGGGGCGGGCCTCTTGCCATATGGGTCCTGATCTGCCCCGCCTCCATCTGCAAGCCGTGATGTTAACCTGACGGGGATGCACTCTCTGAGGAGGGAGGGGTCAGGTCGTTCCCCCCCGGATGCCAGATTGACGCGCCGGTGGGACCGGCGCCCGGAGCCCCGTGCTCTCTCGACGTCGGCCTATTTTTATACCATGACATGCTATCCCTGATGACCGTAACAGCAGGGTGCCCCACGGAGGCGCTGTCCTGCTGATGTGAACAGGGTGGCGGGACACAGGGATGGCGGCAAGGGGCGGGTGGCTGATATTTAGGTCCTGTAGAGGAGATAGATTTAACAAACTGTGAAACGAAAAGGAAAATACAGACGGACACATAGAGAGACAGACAGACGTCAGCACACTGAGGAGACGGAAAGGAGCAGAGGAGGTGCTGATTGGGTTCATGCTTTAAAATCTGCAGCAGCGCATGCTGCACCCTGCATGCCCTGCATTCAAGCCCTGCCACCAAAAATGCCAGACAGGTTGCAATTAAACCTAGTGCCACTAAAGTCACCCATAAGCTGGGGCATACCTAGAAATTCTGCTCTCCCTTACAAAATATCACTTTGCCCCATCAATTTTACACATAATTTCACATATTCAAGGGCTCAGCCCCCTGAATCTGCCTGGGTGTCCAGGCCCCTCTGAGACTCCGATGTCCCTGTCCATAAGCAAACGGTAACAAAAACACCAAGCCGGCTGTCTCGCTGGATGAGCATCGATGACAGAAGAAATGAAGCTAAACCGTCCCCAAAAATGTCGCCTGTCACTGGCAGTATTCAAGGCTACGCTACAGCAGCAGTGACTTCTGCGTTAAATACACCATTGAGGCCATAACGGCTCAAGGAGAGATTGATTTATTGGTCGATTAAAACGCAATTTAAAAATCCCGAAAAGTAAGATGGATTTACTGAAAGATAAATAGAACCATACAGCCCCGGACACAGACATGATTAAATGAAATGCTTTTTCAATCACACAAAACGAACAAAAAGGAACACGAGACCTAAGGTGGCTGTACAGTAAGAGGACTTTCTCAGCAAATACTGAATAAAGCAAAGATCAGTAACTTTATGGTTAAAGGAAGCAGTAAAGCTCATGACAGCTACCTGGGGGAGGAGAAGGCTGGAACCACGCAATCGCAAAAGCGTTTGCGACAAAACGCGTCAGTCTCAACTCAGCCGTCCTTTAAACACTGCAAATCATGTTTATCGTTTTTTTAATATATATAATTTTTAAAATAGAGTTTTTTGTACATTCCTCAGAATGAATGATCTTGAAACCTGCATCTCCCTTCGTTTGGAGTATAGAGCATATAGCCTACTTCCAACAACTGAAAGCATATTCCGATCTTCATTTAGAAATATTAAATCGAAATGTACATATTATAAGCAGCAGCGTGATCAGCAGCGACGGCAAAGTACAGCTTAGCTTGCTCCCGTCTGTATTTTGCATCATCTTCTTCAGAAAAACAATCCGAGCGTCCATGGAGGCGCTGGACAGAAAGACATATGCATGTTTCCCAAAGTCTTACCGGCGCGCCGCTTCACGCGTGGAAATGTGCCGATTATTCCAAGTGGAAATGCCCTCCGATGGGGCAATAGCAGCACTCATGCCCGACCGCCTGCCCATGTGTTCCGACAAGCAAGCGCTCCTCCGAGCGCTCCGCGTGCGCTTGGGTACAGTACGTGACGTCACGGAGTGCCCTGCGTGGTTGGGGGGGGGGCAAGGTGCTGACGTTGTGTGTATGCGTGTGTGTGTGTGTGTGTGAGAGAGAGAGAGAGAGAGATGTAAACCCCCAATCCAGCACGTGTTATATAAACCCACACCAGTATACAACCCCACACCACCCCTCCTTTGGTATGCATCCCTCCTGCCCCCCCACGGAGCCCTTCTTTGTGTATAGAGTGATCTGGGACTGTAGGTAGTGAGTTTGCTGTCTTCCAATCTGGGCTGATGTGGGGGGGCTCACACCCAGCTCCAGTGTCATACCCACCCTGCCACATGTCACATGTCCTGAATATAAAGGGATTATTGACAGGCTTTTTTCTTAGAATACATAACTAAACCTTGTTGACTTTACACAATGTGTCCCCCACTCCAGTAAAACCATACTCACCCAAATCCCCTTTTTAATAAAAAGGAAACTAAAATGAGCCATTATCCAATTAGCTTAATCTAAATGAACTTCCTCCGTTTCCACCTTAAGGGACAACGAAGGCAGGCTCTCTTCCGTCTGTTAAAGGTGTTAGCGAAATATTTAATTTGCCTCATAAATTCATTGCCTTATAAATTATTTGCCTCTTAGGGCAAATGCTGCCAGAGGGAGATTGACTGCGTGCGGCTAAACGGCTCCCCCGGCAAGGCCAGCGCAGTTACGGCGACTGAGGCGTCCCAGCTGACAGAGTAAACTCACCTTGCTGCTGTGCGGCGCCGCAGCGACTCGTGCCTGTGCTTGCACAGAGATGGTACATATAGCAAACATTCGCGGACTTGCTCGATACGAGAGGAAGCAAAACCGTGTGGTAGACATGAGCTATGACGACCCCCCCCCCGCCGAACTCACCCTGGACCTACTGAGACACCTGGAGGTGGTGCAGCTTAAGAGGAGAGTAATTAGGGCGTGGGCCAGCTGACAGCAAAAGGTGCAGCTCAGATTCCAGTCTCAGTTCCCACAGGACTTAAAAAGTGCCATAAATGATTTGAGGCGCAGAACCAATTTCCACAGGTAAGTACCAGAAGCGGCACTTTACACAAATATGTAGCAGGGCCCTCTAACAACCTAAAGCACCCCCCAGCACAGGGGGAGCAAGATTTAACTGTAAACCATGAGACTGAACCCTTGAGCAGTTTTAATAGAAAGCAGACAAAGGGGAGGGGGAGGCCCTGAACGTGGGTGAGACTGGCTGATTAAAAGGTACCGTTTAAGCCCCGTACAAGGACGTCAGAGAAATTCAAGGTCATGTGGAAAATGCAGTAACAAGAGCAACAGTGTTCATAAAGTATTGTATTTGATTGCAAAAAAAACATTATAGCAAATTGTAAAATAACCAAATTTATAAATCTGCACATAAAACATCAACAAATATTAAATCACATAAAAAAAGATAGTAAGAATCGACTGTAAATCAGTCTTCAATAAACATAAGGACTTAAATTTAACTATTCAATGGAGGCAGTTCACGGTGAAAGCCAGACTGGCTCGCGACCGAGGTTGTGTGGTGGACTGCCAATTTACACATTTGCATGCAGTACACAGAGTAGACATGTGGATGCCGGCAGTCTTAGTGTCCCTGTCCTCGGCTGACCCTACGTGTGACAGTCTCTCAGCTGTTCCAGCCTGTGTCTCAACCGCTCCCCCCGTCTGCGCTGCTCTTCCTTGTGCTGCAGGAGGCGCCGTTCGTCCGTCTGCATGCTGTAGATGCACTCCGTGGCCTTTTTCAGGATGACCACCTTGGCGGCTCGCTCGTTATTGGCCACCTCGGGAATCTCGTCTCTCAGGGCGAAGAAGCTCAATTTCAGCTCGTTCCTCCGCTGCCTCTCTAGAACATTGTGAGTCCTTCTCTTATCGTTGTCCTCCGTGTCTGATGTCCGGGGGCTTGGGCATTTGCGGTTGATTGGTTTTAACACCCTGCTGCCGCCACCTCCCCCTATTCCTCCTCCCCCTCCCCCACCTTCGAACTTTATCCGCTTGATAGCGGGCTGCTCGCTGCGGGCAGAAGGAGAGGCTGCGTAGTTGTGCTGGTGAATTGGAACATGACACCGTTTCAGGACCAGGGGGCTCTGCGACTGCCTGCCAGGGGCGCCCGTCCTGTGCACCTCTGACCTCCTCACGTTCTTCCTCTTTTCTACAGTAACGACGTCGATTTCCTCTTCGTCCTCATCTTCCTCATCACCATCATCGTCGTCATCATCATCATCATCATCATCATCATCTTCATCATCATCATCTTCTGCATTGAGGCGAGATGCAGAGTTAGTTTGGCGGGCAGGCATGCATTTACTACACCCTCTACACACATTGCGGCAATAAGCCATGCCCCGGAGGTTAAGGGGAGGGAGAGCGAGGGAGGTTTACGCAACCGGCAAAAACTCACTTCGGGACACGGCGCTTCACCTACCCGAGTCGCTGTCGCTGCTGCTGCAGCTGTTGGGCGGCGTGTCTAGGAGCAGGGGTAGCGCCGGGGACGGGGTCACCTTGCCGGTCTTGCCGCACTCAGTCATCGCGTAGGGAAACACGACCGACGGGTCGATGCACTCGGTAGCCGAGGCGTTCAGCTCCGGCAGCACGGGCTCAGCGGCTGGGGGCTCCCTGCGTACCGCCTGCAGAGACGCCAGCCGCTCGGACACCACCTTCTCCAGCTTGGCGGCGGCCGAAAAGCCGCTCCACATGCAGTCCTGAATGATGATGTACTTGCGGAAAGACTGCGAGTAATCGGCGTTGCAGATGAAGCTCTGGCTGACCACGTCGTCGCCGAGTAACTCTGTGACCATCTCCAGCTGGTCAGCCTTGGAGGGCAGCGGGCCGTTCAGGGAGGAGCGCCGGCTCGGAGACAGGGGCGGCGTGGGTAGCAGCTCGAATTTCTTCCAGATGTCCTCGCTAGGCGCCGGCGGCTGCAGCTGGCCCGGCTGTTGTTGGTAGAAGTCCTCCTCGTCATCAAAGAAGTACGGCTGGATAGAGTCGTAGTCGTAATCGTAATTCCGACTAGCCATGCTGGACGTCAGTGGCATTGTGGGCTGCCTGTGTGCGGGGAGGGAACCAGAGGTCAGCCGGGGGCGATCGCACCAGGGGACTTCTCAATGCCGGCCGAGACACGCAATTTAACACACCAATGCCCGGAGCCCCTTTAACGTGGCGGCGAAGGAGTGCACCGGCGGATCTCCGCGCAGGGAGGCGTGAGCCGGGAACAGAGAAACAAGTCTCGGGAAAAGCCAGCTGACAGGTCGTGGATAGCGGCTGGAACCGGACCGCCGCCCCCCGTTACTCGGTATCCCCGCGGTTCACCGTGTCCTTACCGTGTGAGCAGCTGTCCAAGTGTTTAAATCTTCCCGTCCGCAATGAGGGGAGCGCAGTGTCACTATTTACAAACAAGCGTGTTAATCCAAAGAGCGGCGGTAACACAGAACAGCAGCCGCACGCATCGCGAGTGTGAGCGCCCGCCTCTCCGTCCGAGATTAAACTATTGCCAGAGGCCCCGCCCCTCTATATCACTCCGCCAGTTTCCCGCCATTGCAGACCGACAGGATTACAGTTCCAAATAACACTCCCCCCCCCATTCATCGCCAGAATTTCGCCCGTCGGCGATGCTTCTTCAGCTCCCTACGGAACGGCGCTCGGCCGCGATACTCCGATGGTTGCGGGAAGTTGGAGCTGGGCAACCAGAGAGCGGGCACTAGCTCCGGCGGCGCACGGACTGTTCCTCTGCGATGCGGGGCGGGGCTGTAGTAGCTTTTCGCGGATCGGGACCGGCTGTTGTAGTAGTGTGGAGTATCTGCTGCAGTATAAGTGGCGCCACCGGCGCTAATATATAGATGCCGAAATGCTGCTCCGCACGCCACGTCCCCGAAGCACACATACAGAAATTTAAATGCATATTTTCCCGAACTTAAAAGTTATAACCGCCTCCAGTGACCACTACGGTGTATTGTTATTCTAGTGTTATTGTTTTTTGCATCGTTTCACGTAACAGCCATGCGTTTACGCCTAAGAATGAACCTTTATTTTACCTTACAAACACTGAGAGCATCAGCACCAATGAACGCTCCTTACCGGCACTCTGCCGTCCCGCACTGAGATGTCAGTCAAGGACGCCTTTGTTGTGAAGGTGAACCGTGATACCGGAGCAGCGCACAGCCCACTGCCCATTTAGACGATTATATATTAGTCGGCAATGTCTTTAGACAACACTGTGCGTTTTATATTGTTAACCTCAGGACTGCTCACGTGTGGATCAAAAATAATACGGAGTTTCATTTATTTTATACGAAACAATGTGCTGATGAAAATAGTATATATGAATAATTACTTGGATATTGTTCTCAAACTAGACGCTAATATAGACACTCTCTTTTGGCTTGAAAAAAAAATTAACTATTCAGACGACTGTATGCGAAGTACGGCCAGTGCAGCTCATTTATTTCTGTTGTATAAAACCTGTTAATCAGCCTTCATTTCGATTGTGAAATTCTGGTCTAATTTCAAAGCTCCGGTGTCCTTCATTTAAAAGAGGACAATGAGAGAAAACGATGCGATTGCGCCCCCTGCTGTTGAAAATGCTTCGCCCTTCATCATGAATGGCGCCCTGGTTAATTTGTAGGCCAAAGGTCAGCGCTTAAAAACGTCAGTAATGCGTGAGTGTTAATGTCAGTATCGCTTTATAGGCGTTACATGAAGGTAGTTACGGGAAAAAAAACAGGTATGGCAGAGCTGCACAGAACTGCAGGGAGGTTTATACACTTTCCGTAGTGCTTTATCTTCATTATATTGCGTGTGAAACTACCTTTCGTTTTTTTAATGAGCAGAGATGTTTACTGCTTTCTGCATAAGGCTACTTGGGTGGTATAACACTGTGTCATCTTAATTATCCAATTATTTCATCAGGCTTTTTGTACTGTGTTGAATTTTTCAATTACAAAATAGCTTTTTAATAAACAGCAGCAGTCTTGCCCTTGCAGACTCCCCGT